TGTGTGGTGTGTGGGGTGTGTGTGGTGGGTGGTGTGTGTGTGGTGTGTGGTGTGTGGTGTGTGTGTGTGTGTGTGATGTGTGTGGTGGGTGGTATGTGTGTGTGTGTGTGTGTGTGTGTGTGTGGTGTGTGGTGTGTGGTGTGTCTGTGTGTGTGAATTTAATCCACAGTGAGGTCTTTTCCTCAGTTATTCTGGGTGCATGATGGCTGTGGTAGTTTTCCACATCTGCCTTTGTCATGTAAATGCTTTGGCAAGAAAAAAAAACCATGCCCTTACCCCAGTGGGGAGGGATAGCCCTCCAGGAGTATTCCTCACTTCCAGGGTGTGTCTGGTCATAGGTTCATCCAGCAAAGACCCCGGGTTCACTCGGTGTCCAAGAACTGGGGACGAGGGACAGCGGTCAGAGTACTACAGCAGGTTTAAGGACACACATCCACACTCATGCGTGCACATGCACACTGTCATATGTACACACACATACAGGCACACTCACACACGTCCCACCCCTATGTGCACGTGTATATGCAGATCCTTGCACACGTGTACACGCACACTTTCACATGTGCATCTATACGTGCACAGCACACAGGCCGAGGGTGTGCTCCCTGTCCCCGGAACCAGTGTCTCTGCAGGCATGAACCACGCTGCCTACCTTTAGTGATGGTGCCTGAGCTGAGCTCTGCCTGCTGTCTCCACCTGTGGAAGGGGAAGTTTGAATTAGAGGACCTTGAAAAGGCATCTCAGGTTCTGAGTTCTGTGGTCCTGAGGTTCAACAGACTCCACTACACAATCACGTGAGGCCAACATGCGTACACCCCCAGAGCTGTCCAGGGATGTGGGGATAGTGTCCCAAGGGGAAGATGGCTGCAGCCATTGCAGGGCTCACGACACTGGTCTAGGGCAGGGATGGCACATGTGGCATCACTCATTGCTCACAGCCTGCCTCCTGGGAACCTGCTCAGCACCAGCCCTGGCAAGGACCACCTGTCAGGCAGAGCCAGCCGGCTGGGAGGGGCCATGTGCTCTCCAGCCTTACCTGCCTCGGGTTGGGGGGTGATAGCACAGGAAGAGGCAAAGGTGGCAGGAACACGCACCTGAGGGTTGTCCTGGGGGCGCGGGGACCCACCGTGTCCTGGCCGCAGGGCCACGCAGAAACTGGGGCCTTGATGGGGACAGCGCGGGGTCTGGTGACTGCTCTGCTCATTGCCACTTGATGGGGACGATGCCAGTGATAGGGTAGGGAGGTGCCTTCACCTCTCAAGGGCTGCCCAGGAGGGGTTATTTCCAGGGAACACCGGCTGTGATGGATGGATGTGACGAAAAGCCAGAGAGAAGCTTTATAAGGTGTAAAAATGGGGATTTGGGGGACACTGTAAGTAATCTACCAATAGTCCAACTTCCCACCCAATCCAGGCGGCCCTCAGCAGCTCCGGGTACTGAAAGCAGTGTTTCCCAGGGTGTGTTGAGGACCACTGCAGCGGAATTGTCGGGGAGGGGCTTATTGGAAAGGCAGGCACTTCTCCAGGGGCACCTCTGCGCCTCTCTGTGCCTCAGTTTCCCGATCTACAGCATCGGAATAATTGTGCCTTCCATTGTAGGTATTGTGGGTGGAAAAGGGGCCACATGTTAAACCTGACAAGCTCAGGAGATTGAAAATAACCACATAAGATGGTCTGAACGTAAAAATTTCTAACTAACAGTGAGTCTTTGCTGGTAGTCACATCCTTGGCCTGCAGCTTCCTTGACAAAGGTCAGTCTTGACTTTAAGTAAGCCTGTCTGTCGTCTTTTTGCATCTAAGATAACACACCCTTGCAATATCAGAGTAATCTCTTTTCCCAGACCTCCCAGGGTGCACAACCCACCACACCAGGGCAGGAATCTACAAAATCCCTCATTGTTATCTTGTTCCCCAAATACCATCTCTATGTGCTGTAATATGCTATTAACTATGCTGTACCCACCAATGTAAAAGAAGTGCGTCTCTCCATTTTACTTTCTATTCAATCCCAGAGATTGCCCGGCTTTGCTTTCTCCCACCCCCTTAATCTACAACCAATGGGTTTCATGCAACCGTCCTCTTTTGATTCTAATGTATAAAATGGCAATTTTCCAGAGCATTTTCTCAATCCGTTGAGACTTTGCTTCCCGGCAATTGTAAAATAAACTTATAAGCTTTCTCCTAGGTTGGATGTTTTTTCGTTGACATTACCCATCTTCTATTGCCATTAAATAACGTAGCAGAGAAAGAAAGTTATTTTATTATTAAATGAGCATCAAACCAAAATGCAATGCTCACCACCAGCAACCCGAAAGAGGTGAGAAACGGGCAGAAATCTCACCTTTTCCATGACCAAGCAACAGCCCATGACATCCAGGTTCTCAAGATAAATGATAGCCAGTCCCCAGTAAGAGGATTTGTCAGCACCATCAGTCGCAGTTGGTTCACCCTAAACTCACCGAGTAATTGGGGTGACCACCGTGTTAGCTAGTTGGCTTTACCCAGAGGAAAAATAAGCATCTCCTATCTTTACGACAGGAGGTCATTTTGCAAATTAGAGCAAGTCGCCCAC